CAATTAGAGTCTCTTTCCATTCCTTATTCAAGTTTAGTATGGCAAGCTCCTTTCTAGATACACTGAGCGTCCCGCATCGCTTAATTTTTCTATTAGTTCTGTATTTCCTCCCTCTGTTTTCAATAAGTCTGAAATAACAATTGCAATTGCAGATAAGCCAGATCCTACTTGAGCCTGCTGACAACTGAGACGAGAATCTCTTTTTGCTACCGAATCCACAATAGCTTGTTTAACCACCGCACTTAGCTTTGCGGCTCCAAAATTATGGGCATTCTCCGGAGGAGGGTACTTTTTCATAATATCACGCCTCTTTTCATCTTCCAATCCTTTCTTAATTACCGTTTTCCATCTGTCGGGTACATCCTGTTGGATAGAGGGGCCCTTAGTTTCTGGCAATTCCACTTCGTCCCCCAAGGCTAACAATATGTCACCATTAAGTTCGCCAACATTATTTCCCTCATTTGTTACATCTGAAAAGAATTTACTTTCTGATGCATTGTACTTTATTATAATTTAGGGTCTGACTAGCTAGAATGACTCTTACATTGATCAATGGTGTTCTCCGGAATGCTGAAGTTGCATCAATATTGGAATATAATGTGGCAAAAAACCCAAAAAAGTATATACATACATATATACATATATATACATATATACATATATACACATATATACACATTCATGTTTCAAATGTATTAAAAATGACACATAGTTATAATCCAACAAAATGTTTAAATCAGGGCTACTATTCATCTGCTGTCATAAACAGAAAACTTGACATCATAATCAGTTTAGCTCAGGTATACGTTTGTTATCATAAACAAAACAAACTTATGCCATAACCAGTTTTTCTACGTTTGTTATTATAAACAAAACAAACTGATGCCATAATCAGTCTTGACCAAAGCGTATGTAGAACAATCAAACTAATACCCCACTTAAGTATGGACCTGTGGTATCATAACCACTGAAATTATACACCATGAAGGAATTAAGATAATCACCTTCTTTTTCTCCTATATCTGATCCACCGTCAGCTTCCGATCCTGAATAGGAACGCCTATCATATGAGTGGCTATCGGATCCGTCCTCGGAATTAGAGGTTCCTGATGAACTGCCATCGCCTTGGTCTTTTCTCTTCCATCTTATCCAGTCGCTTCTCCAATCTCTTGACAATTTTCAAAAACTTTTCCCCTACAGTGGAAGGAGAAGAGCTACGACTCCTCTTTCTAGACCGCTTCGGCATAGTTTGAACACTTGAAAACACAATTATCGAAAAATTCACCACTAAACGGTACGACGGCGACGAGTTGATTTCTGCGCGGCATCTATGGATGTATAATATAATATATAGTTTTAAAACATAATATGTCTATATGTATCTGTGTTAACGTTTAAATTTTCTCTTGCTGTTATTATTATTACTGATATACTACTTTATTTATTTATTTTTTTTTTGGTTAGGTGGAAGAGCGCGGATTGACAACTAATGGTTGTCAATCAAGCGAACCTTGCCGTTTGCTCACTGCATTAGATTTATGTACTTTTTCTTTTTCTGTACTTACATGAGCAATAAAAGCAATTTATTATTATTATTATTATTATTAGTTCGCCCGTAACCTTTCGCATACAAATTAAGACTGAGTACGATGACGGCAGCGGGGAGCGGCGGGAGGGGTTATGTTTGCTTTGAAATGTATGACCGATTCGCTAGAGATGGAGATACTACGTATTACTATTTTTCGAGACGGGGCCGAATATAATACCAAATTTTATGTCTTTATATCAACACGTTTCGGAAATACTAAGGAAAAACCATCTTCAGGGGAGCCCATTTAAAAGACCGTAGCGCCCTTAGGGGACGTTTGTCGACCTATGTTTATATAAACTTTTTTTCTTATTTTAAGCTCTAGAAACCGGTGGTAGAATATTGCGCACTTTTTTCGGGACAATTGAATGGTAATTACTGAGTAAACCTACTTGACATTTTTGTGTGCTGTTATTTTTTCTAGAAAGTGTCCAAGTTTTCCTCTCTAAAGGAAAATTCGGGCACATTTGGCCAGTTGGACGAAAAATCCTAGATCATTCTGGTTTACAGCAAATGCACCCACAACTTTTTCAAAATTGTCTACTTCATTCTGAAAAATTTTACATTCGAATAATTATTGTACTAGATTTCGAGCTCTGTCAATTTACTGGAAAATTGTTTGCTGACTGATCTGACAGTCATCAAACAGTCAGAAGTTTCTGTAGGAACAGCGGATTCGTTGTCGGTAATCGGTCTGACCTGCGTCAGTCAACTCGTAACGTTCTCATGTACGCAATTAATACAGTCAGCGACATGTCAGTGACAGCTAACTGCGAAAACTAGGTCATGACTTGTCACCGACTATCAGTTTGCTGATTCTCAGCAAACAGGCTGTACAAACAAGCTAAGGTTACTCTCACACCTAACTGCTTATGTCAGTTACATTAAATGTTCAAAACATCAACGGGATTGAAAATAATATTAAAAAGAATAAATATCATATGTGATCATAAAATTTTCTATATTATTCGTTTTCCAAGTGTCTGCGAATGACAACCCGTGGAACAAAGCAGAATTGTGTGGGCGATTCGAATAGTTAGCGATTTCTGACAATGAACTTCGAGTTGAATCACAATTTATCTACAGGGTGTTCAGATAGGGACGCTCGATGTTTGAACGGCGCGCGCGCCCAAACCGGTGGGGATACAGCTGTCAAATTTTGTGAGGTTATTAAGTTAGTCTTGACATTTAATCATGGAGCAGTACACGATTCAACAACGCGTGGAAATTGTGAAAATTTATCATCAAAACAGATGTTCGGTTCGTGAAACATTCCGCGCATTGCGTCCAATTTATGGTGCGCATGGCCGTCCTGCTGAGTCCACTATTCGACGTCTGCTCAATAAATTTGAGAGAACTGGCTCAGTGGCAGACCAAACAACACCCGTACGGCAACGAACAGTAAGAACAATCGAGAATATTGCTGCTGTGCGAGAGAGCGTGCGTCAAGACCCGAATCAGTCATTGCGGCGACGTGCACAAGAACTTGCCCTTCCAAAGACCTCAACATGGACAATTATGCGTCGAGACTTGAAATTGCACGCGTATAAAATTCAATTGACGCAAGAATTGAAACCGCAAGACCATGGACAGCGCCGTACATTTGCCGCATGGGCTCTAGAGCAGTTGCAAGTCGACCCTGCATTTGCACGAAAAATCATCTTCAGCGACGAGGCGTATTTCTGGATGAATGGGTATGTCAATAAACAGAATTGCCGTATATGGGCTGACCAAAATCCTGAAGTGACTTGCTCAATTGCTATGCATCCTGCTAAAGTGACTGTATGGTGCGGTTTCTGGGCTGGCGGCGTAATCGGTCCATATTTTTTTGAGGACGCTATGGGCAACGCGCTTACGGTCAATGGAGATCGGTATCGCGCCATGATTAATGATTTCCTGTGGCCTCAACTGGACGATATAAATCTAACAGACATCTGGTTCCAGCAGGACGGCGCTACGTGCCACACCGTTATGAAAGTATTTCATTTTCGGATTTGCAGATATAAGCTTTATGATGCATTTTGTGAACCATAACTAAATTGTACTTGCTATTTAACGATAGATGCTATTTCGATCCTAATATAAGCCATCTACCTTATTAGGTATTCAGGTTTCGATGATGAATGAATTTGTGAACCATAAACTAAGTACTTATATTTAACTAGACTTCCTAATATAAGCCAATTTAGTCTCTTATATATCTATATCAATGTGATCATATCCTCTCAGGCAAAAAAAACCCAATGGATTCAATGATTTGAAGCCAGTTTTTCGTCAACTGAGCCAGACACGGATAATAAACAACATCAGAATAGCTTAGTACTGACATCATCAATGATTTATAGAGTTTCTTTCTCAATTTGAAGTTGAGCAAACATCGAATAGAATGAAGGGCTCTAGAGCGAATATGTTTTTTCATTAAGCTAGCTGTATGGTTGCGGAATCTTAACTTCAAGTCTCTTCTCTTAGATGTATATTCAGAGCAAAACAGTATTACTCGTATTTGCGTTTTATCTGGATTACCAGCGAGGACTATGATCTATAGACAATTGATGTGCCTTATCTTAATCTATTTGCAAATTGGGTGCTGCATATTGTCAATCTGTGGCGAGTGAATGATAAACCATTATTTGCGTGTCATCAGCGACTGTATGTTATTCTGACTAACCTACAGCTTTATATAAGTCAGAGGTATATATTAAAAACCTACAGAGCCCAAAATTGAGCCGTGAGGCACACCTGAAGATAGCGTGATATCACATTGCATACGACTTGACAAATAGCTGCGAAAGAGACCCACTGCGTTGTCATCAAAGCCTCTGTACTCCAGCTTTGCTCTTAATAGTTCATGATTAGTTAGGTCAAATGCTGTGAAATAATCAAGCGATACTGTACTTCTGTAGCCATTTTTTTTGTCCAATGCCCGAATAACATTATCACAAAGATCTAAGAGCGCTGAAGGGGTGCTATGATGCTTCCTGAAACCCGACTGACATGAAGATATTATTTTATGTTCTTCTATGTATTGAACAACACACGTTTTGGCAACACTAATAGGATATTTTTAAGGACTATGCAGTTTATCCTGTTTTTTTTTTCGCTTATATGTTGGAAAACTGTATTTCAAATTCATACATTGAAAAATTTGATTTTTATTCTGGATGTCGATGGAATGTTTCAGCGTTAAGCTGTCGTTTTTAGAGAACAAAGTTTATTTTTCTCACATCCATCAGCACCATAATCTAAATCGCGGAAAAAGGGTTACATTCTAACGACAGTGCGTGAAAAAATGCTAGAACTATTGTATGTAAGCACGTATTAGCTTTATCGCAAAAGTTTACGTTTGAGCTTTGAAGTACAAGCTTTTGGAAAATACTCCAAATTTTAATCGTAAATATAAATGCATGATTACTTAAAACCTCAGCTTTCTCGAACTCCCCTTCTTCTATTACTGCGCCTCCTCCTAGCGTTGATCCCTGATTACTGACGCATGACTGTTTCTTCTTTTTCTTTGTAACTATTGGTTGAACGTACTCTAGTTGTTTTCCTAAGCTCTTTTTCTTCTTCTTTACTTTTCTTGGTTTTGGTTCAAAGGGTTTCTGTGCCTCGAAGTTCTTCTTCCATGCAAGCTTCCTAATAATCTTGAAGTGGTCCCGAAGGGGCCTGCCTGAACGTAAGCCGATGCAGTTCTCTATGGCGTTGGTGCACTGAAAATTGGACAGCGTTATGCATAACTTGACCAAGCGCCATTTGATAAATTTTCAGATTTTGCTGCCATCTAATGCACAGTAGCTCAATTTACTTGTAAAAAAATGCGGGCAACATAGAGATATGGCGTTCAAGTGCAAAAACATTTTAAGCAATGAGCCAAACGTAATATTTGTTGTTATTCATTTGTCAATACTTAACCGAACGACCAGATTTTATGTAGTGTTAGCAAACTCACTTCCAACGTCCTGTACAAAGTGTCCAACCTCCATATAATTGACTGTTAGTCACCTGATGCAAGTTGTACCGTAAGCGGGAACACAAGAAAGTGAGTATATGACCAAGATAGCAGTGTGTGACAGCGCCAGCTTACTTTAAGTATTTAAAAGAAACTATACAGAACATTCCTCAAAATGATTTATTATTGCAATTTATGCGTGAACTATGTCAGGTTCTACGTATTGCATCTTTACGTTGAAATATAGTATTCATGCCCCAATCTCATCATCCCAATTTCGGCAGGCTAACTTGATTCGTTCAAGAAATAAGTATGTAGTTGGGTACCTTTCTGAAAACACTGTATGATGAAAAGTAAAAGCTTGGCTCAATATTAGAGACATTGAGCTGCTTAACCCTTAAATTGGCAAACCCATCTTTATCAATTTTTTTATTATAATGAAAATTACATCATCCATATAAGTGAATTAGTCTACTATAATATTATGTATACTAAGAGATGTACTGACAATGTATAACAACATAAACCCAAATTATAGTTCATAGTTTATAGTTAATAAAACTTGCACAGAATGAGAAACTGACAGTGTATAAGCGTAAATCAACTAAATGTTATCCACAAATGAACGAAAAATATCCCATATAAGTTCAGTTTATATATAACGGGTGGGCCATCTATCGGTTTCGATTTGAACCACGTGTTAATTTGACGCTGACAATACTTATGTCAATCTGATTTGTCATAAAATTCAGTATATTATCTCCGCTGAACGAAATGAATCGATTTACGCTTGAGCAACGTTGGGTAATATTGGAAATTTATTTCCAAAACAAAGACAATTGGGCAGAAATTGCACGAAAATGCCGTTCAAAATTCGGTCGCAACGAAGCACCAACAGCGCCCGGTATACGCAAGTTTATTAATAAAGTGCGTGAAACTGGTTTCATTGTTGATGCTCCAACACGTCAGCGTGCTCGTACAGTGCGTACACCCGAAGGTATCGATGCTGTGGCTGCGAGTGTGCGTGAAGATCCATCAACGTCAACACGTCATCGTTCCCAAGAATTGAACATTTCCCGCACCAGTTTACGACGAATTTTGCGGAAAGATCTCGGTATGACGCCTTACAAAGTTCAATTGGTTCAAGAGTTGAAGCCGCGTGACCATCCACTTCGTTCTGCCTTCGCTACATGGGCCAACGAGCAACTAATCAATGATGTCGATTTTGCGAAAAAAATAATCTTTTCAGACGAAGCTCATTTTCATATTGGTGGCTACGTCATAAGCAAAATTGCCGTATCTGGGGCTCGGAAAACCCACACGAGGTCTTAGAGAAGCCAATGCATCCCTTGCGAGTGACTGTTTGGTGTGGATTGTGGAGCGGAGGCATCATTGGCCCATATTTCTTTGAAGACGGGGACGGCGCAACCGTTTCTGTCAATGGAAACACCTATCGCACCATGATAACTGATTTTTTTGTTCCTGCTCTTGATGGTATTGATGTGGAGAATGTTTGGTTTCAGCAGGATGGTGCAACTTGTCACACATCGCATGCCACAATCAACTTATTGCGCGAAACCTTCGATGGCCGTTTAATCAGTCGAAATGGTGATGTCAATTGGCCGCCAAGAAGCTGCGATTTGACACCATTGGACTATTTCCTGTGGGGCGCTGTTAAAGACAAGTGTTATGTCGACCATCCAGAGACAATTGACCATTTGAAGGCCAACATTCGTGATGCCATTGACGAGATACGGCCCCAAACACTCGAAAAAGTGCTCGAAAATTGGTCCGATCGAATGGGCTACTGTGAGGCCAGCCGCGGCAGCCATTTGAATGAAGTAATATTTCATTTCTGAGCGGAACAATTGTACTTCAAAACAAAAAAATAAATTTGGCAATATCTCAAACCGTTTTTGTTTTATTTTATTTTTAAATCGAAACTTTTAAATGGCCCACCCATTAGTTGTAGTCACCGTTCTTGGCGGTAACGTCATCAACGCCATATGAACTAAATGAACAGGGGACCTCCGTTTTCATTCTCCTCCCGAAAATACCCTAAGAAATTTAGCACAAGATGTCGGCCTTCTCCATTGATCGTATTTCCGGGCATTGTAGAATTTTATATTGAAGATTGATAACAGGACGACTCAAATTGCACGCCGATGTCAAGTTAAGTTGTCTCTTTGACAAATATGATTGCAGGGCACTCATACTTAACGACAAAGTTTTCGAGTCGGAGACGTACAACTAAGAAACGTATGTTTCGGCTCTGTGCCTACGGCCTGACCGTTGAGATTACCCTCTTCATTTACAGCGTTGTGAGTGGTGTATCCCCCGTTTCCTATCGACTTTACTTACTCCATTCTAGCATCCCAACCCCTACGCCTATGAGTATCCCCCTCCCCGCGCCATGGCTAGCCGGCAAGTGGCGAGTTTCTCGCTTGTTCTTCAGTACGCTTTATTTACAGCGAGTGAGTGGTGTTCCGTGAGTGCGCAGAAGTGACGCGTGAGAGCTAACGTGGTGTAACGTTTGTATTAGGATTAAGATAATCTCGACAAGGTAACATCCCATCTATGGGTAAATGTAATTTTCTCTGTTTTAGATTTTATAGTAGCAACATTCTATTCTCAACACAGCTAATTAATCTACGACATTCAGACGTATCTCTTCCTACGCTCTCGGACCATGCCCAGACGTACGGATATGTATACAGTGATTAAGTTTTATGGCCGTCTAACCAGTGCTTGAGTCAATCACACTCAGCTATGCAAACATCTGTTACAAACTGGCTACGCAGTTTGGCCCGAGTGGCTCTGGACCTTGATCCGACTGGGCACAGAAATTGATCCGACCGTCTGATGAATTTGGGGCCCGACCGGCCGCAGAATTTGGCCCGACGGACCCCACATTTTGGCCCGACCACCGACTAAACCGGCAGGCTTATTACGTAACTTCCAACCGACTCGAGTTGGTCGATAGTTGCTGTCAACAACGCAAATTTCGTATTATGTATCAGTCGGCGCGTCTCAATCGGCGACCGGCTACGGTGGCGCCTCTATGGAGCAACTGGTGAACGAAAAGTGCATTCTTTTGTTAGGAGTATCAAAAAATTGATATTCCCTAACTCATTGACAGCGACCCGACAGCAACTTACTAGCGATTTGAACTGTCAAATTAACAACTGCTTAGTGGTAGTCGACTAGTCGGTCGCTAATCGGTTGCTAGTGTTTTGTTTAGATAAATTTGTCAAAACTATTCATTTTTTTAACAAGGAAGGTAAGTATAACAAGTTCAAATAAGGAATAAAATAGCTTGACGAGTCTAAGAAGTGATTGTATGCTCCCAGTTTGTATTTTCAGCAATTTTGGTTCTCTGGATGGCTCGTGCATTTTTACTTATGGAAGCATTGGAAAGCGAAAGAATGCACGTTCAAAGACGGCAAACTTCTCGTCTACGACGTATTTTTCAGTATCTATGATTTGAAGTTCATATTGATTATCAAATAAGCTTACTTGCACCTTCCTACCACAGTATAGAAACATATTGGTTTTAGGTATTAGCAGCACTTCTGGTGCTGGCAGCTGGTTCCTGCCAGAACCATTTACATATTTACATGGGCTCAGTCGCTCAGTCAACCTAGTGTATCCAAAGCACTAAGGGAAATGGTGGATGCATTAAATCATCCATACATTCTATCTAAGCATATTTACTTCCCTCAAACACCGTCAGAGAGGATAGTAACTATATTGCCATGCATATTAAGAAAGTGAGATTGCATATTAAAATTGTATGGTGGACCATAATGAGTCAATATTCATCGATCCTAAGATCAATACCTCAGACTCATTATGTGTAAGATTAACAATACAGCAACAAATCCGAGTCTTAATATTTCACATATTTTAGGCAACATACCGATTTCAGCAGTAATATTTACTTTGATTTTCTTTACTTGTTATATGCCTGCTTGAAGATGAGTAATAATGAAAGATATATTTTTACAGGTGACTCTGGACATCCGTTAAGAATCGGTCTTACCAGAAATAACATAAGGCGATGCACAGGAGTACTAAAATTTGTATTATCTACTGTATCGAACATTTTAAAATTCCATGAAATAATGTTCATTGTCATATGCTTATGCTTAGTGATAGCTCTGCTTTAACAAGGTTCTATCAATCACTGTAAAGAAAATGTTTATGGAATTAGTTTTCTAGGGAGGTTTATTTTCTCATGTCCATGTTCAACAATATCTATTTTAGAGGATTTGGAACAAAGTACGCTTTGAGCGAAGATCAACAAAAATTGCAAAATGCATTTGTAACAAAAAGCACTGCCTTTTTGAAATATTGTTATAAAACCGCTGACCTTCTTTTTGTAATAGAACCCACAACGTTTTTTTATCAATTTAAGCATTAATGGTACTAAATACAATCGTAAAAATTAAAAAAATACTCGGTGTTCCACAATCACTCAAACAGCCTAGAACTTCGCCGCTTGTGAAGATTAGTACAAATCGCTAAATGTATTTCTAATGGGGACCAATTCTCTTTAGAAAATGTATCAAAATGTATTTCTACAAATATAATTTTTTTATTGACACTCCTATTTTGTTTTCGTCAATTTGTAAAGCAATTATTTTAAATACAATAAAAAAATCTTATTGTCTTAGAAATATGTTGAGAGACAAACTTTTAACCATATTAAGAGTTTAAATGATTTATGGATTGGAGGTGCCATTACAAAAACAGTTAGTC